CTTAATTTATATATATATACATCTTGTTTAAATTTTCAATATTTAATAAAATACTTTTTATTCATCCATTCAAGTCCAAGTACATTTTTTTTTTAACTTGTAGTGGACGGCATTTGATGTTAATACAGTTTTTTCACACACAAATACTAATTCATTCATTCATTAAATTAAAAAAAAAACGATAAATAGTGACAAACAAAAATAATAATACAACAGCATGTATAAAAAGGAAAATCGTTCGTTGTGTTCCTGTAGCACAATGGATAGTGCGATGGACTTCTAGTCGTGGGTTCGAATCCCACATGGAATGGCCTAGTTTGTGAGAATATGATTTCTTTTCACCATACTATTTTATTGAATAATTAAATTTAATTAATGAATAAACAGTAAAAAACAAAAATAATAGTCCAACACCCTATATATTAAGGAAAATGGAATATTGCAAGGAAAAAATCGCTTTCTATTTTGCCACTTAATATTGTGATTCTGTGATATGTATATACATATTTATATTAACCCTTTATCTACCGCATTATGATTTACTTCAGCTTTTTCATACAACATTTTTTTTAATCACTACATCGAAAATTAAGGGATATACATAAACAAAATGCTCAACTTTGGAAAATTTAATCTGTTAGAACTAATTAATTAATTAAAGATATTCAACTGTAAAATTATATACATTGTTCACTTAAAATAAATAGTTAAAATCGTTTTCTAACGTCTTCATTAACATACAAAAAAAAATATGACTTTTATCTTTTGACACTAACTATTTTTTCGGAACAAAAATAACAATCTTCGCATTTCACGCTGAAAACGCTATTTCTGCTATAAAACTATTCGCCTTCCCCGCTAAAAGAAGAATCGGGGCCCCATCTTTGGAAGAGGGTTTTTAAAATAATATTCCTGGTAAATATAGTCAGAGTAATCGTAAAAAGGGTTATTCTATGTAATTTTAAAGAGAGTGGTAGTACCGTCGGTAGATAAAGGATTAATTGTAATTATTTAACAAAAAGTATTTAAAATAAAAAATTTTCTTAGTTGACCTAAGTAGGAATTGACTTTTAAAAAGAAATTTATATTACTTGTTGTTACTTTCTTTCATTTGTTAAGATGGTAGAAGTTAGAGGATTCCTTCCTCTAGCATGTTGTAGTTCATTTATTTCTATATTAATATTTTTTGAGAAAGGCATGCAATAAATTTTAGTCTTGTATGCCTTTTTTTTTTTGTAAAACATTTTTATTTCTTGCAACAAAACTCATACGTCCAAAGGGCTAAGCAAGTTCTTTGGTAGTATAGTTATTACAATTATAAATCAATCGAAGATTCATATATTTTTTGGCATATCCAAGTAGTTACACAATTTTAATATCTAATCAAATGTTCCATAAATCTGGAAAGGTTAAAAAAAAAACCTGTTCGTTTCTATTAAGAGACCCGAAAATTGGAATCCCGAAATATAAATGAAAATCTTTTTCTCATAAATCAGATCATATAAATTTGATTTGCTTACTTAATACGATTCAATAGCACAATACTATTGCATAGACTTCATTTGCAATATATTAAAAACGAACAGTAAGCGTAACGAAAAGTTGTGTTACGTACTGATCACTGGGGTAGCTAGTTTTAGTGGGCCTATCAAAAATCCTTCGGGGCTTTTTGAAAAGGAAGCCCTGTTGTTTACGAGTTAAAATGTTGGGGCCCCGTATCTTTTCAGGGTGATACAGTGGTAACTACGCCCTGATACTGATCAGTAAAACACACAAAGGGGGGTGGCCAAGAGTTCGGGGCCCCCTTTTCCCCAAACCCCGATTTTTTTTTCCGATTGATTATAATTCTAAGTATATAGTACGTAAAATTTAATTAAATATGTTATTAAGATTAATTTTTTAATTAATGCTATATTTAAAAAATAGTTTTACTGTTTTTGTTCCCGAAAATCGACAAAATCAAAGGATCATGATACAAAAAAGGTGAACTTTCGACCCTGGACCCCCCTTTAAAAATTTTGTTTTCGCTATGGTACTTTTAATTTTAATAGGACAACAATTCAATATAAAATGCTGCTAATTTTGTAAAAATATTTAAACCTTTTCCAAAATACAAATTAGAGGGAATTTTATTCCGTCGAATTCAATGCAAGACTTAAAAGGGAGGGGTGAGAAATTGTAACTACTAACGCTTATGCTTTGATAATCGTAGCGATATATAAGGGGGGGGTTTGGGGGTTTTTTCCCCCCTCCCCAGACAAACAGTTTTTTTAATTTTTCACAAAGATTGTCAACGTTTTTCTTAATGTAACCCTCGGGGTGTAACGTACACCCCGCATCGTGGGGAGCAGAAATTAGGGCAGTGCCCGAAACCCTTTTTAATCGCTGTGGACCGGTAAACTTTTGAAAATTTTTTCGGGGCCCCGCTGAGGGTGGGGACGTTGTTTTTGTATTTTAGATATTGTTTTAGATTTAAACAATTTTAATTTAGTTATATTTAAATATGCCTTTAGAAAAAAAATATAGTTCCACCAAAATGAAAAAAAAGTGATTTAACGTGGAATATAAATGATTTCGTGGAAGGGGCGCAAATCTGGAGAAATGCACCACTTTAAATAAAAGGGCAATAATTTGATGTTTTTGGGGCACCCGGCACCGGGGGGTTGCGGATCCCCCCTTTGGGGGTTTAAAAGCCGTTTATGGTTTGAATCCTTGTATGACCCGTTGGGATCCCAAACCTGACTTTGGGGTTCAATATTCATGGTTACCCATGTAATCCTCCCATCAAAGTAATCGGGGACGCCACTATCGACATAAAAAATTTTTATTTCCGATTTGCAGAAAAACTTAGATTATCGGTAGCAGTTGGGGGGAGAAAACTGTTCTAAATACTTGTCCAGACTAAATCTTCTGGATGCAGTTTGATTTCGAATATCTATTAAACGGAAAAAAAATATTTCCTTCGAAACGCGACACAACTTCAAAAGTCAAGAAAAGTCGTCAATACCTTCCCTTCCCAAAAAGGGGGTTTAAAACCCTTCAGATCTCCAGGGAAAAGGGGGGAAACTCAGATAGATAGATCACCAGAACTCGCCCGAATCTTCAGCGGGCTGCGCCCCGGTGCATATCCCCCTTTCTATCCCCAGTGCAGTCCAGTCCAGGGTTTCCCCTTCCCCCTAGATGGAGCAACACTGTTCGGGCAAAAGGGACTGGGGGCTTTACGCAGAGGGTGCGCCATTCTTCCCCCGGGAAAATTTACCGACCACTCCTCCCCCCTTTATCCTCCTTCGATGTGGACCGAAGGCGCCTAAAATCCCACACCCGAGTATCGCCAGATAAAGTTTTCTTTGGGGATTCCAGTGAACGGGAACTGTTCTATAAACTAAAGGGGTGATTAATTGCCAGGGGTGTGGTGTTTCGCAGGAGGGACTTTATTCCAGAATTTTTGGGGGTTGCCGATTACAGGAAGATTGTTGTTGGGTAACCAGTCCTTTGGACCTTAAAGCTAAAATTTTTTTTCTAAATATTCAACGTTTTGGGGGATTTTTTTTTATTATTTTTTTTTTTTCCCTTTCCTTTTTGAAGATTATCACCAGCTAATCTTTTGTCCAAAAAACGATCTTAAACGAAAAAAAAAAATTCCCCAAATTTTTTTTGTTGAAAAAAGCATAGGTTGACATTTTTATAACAAATTCATTAATTATAACGAGAGTTTTAATTATTATAAAACATCTGCCCATCGCGATAGAAACTATATAATTACACCAGCGTTTTTCAAATTGTGGGAACGCTCCCAAGAGGTGATAGCCGGACAAGGGGGAGGAGGCTATAAAAAATTCGAAAATCAAAGTTTTTTTTAAAAAATGTTAATTTACTGAAAAGAAACAACCGAGCTAAATCGTTCTGTCACCGTGTGGTGCTCAAAGCTACGGTTAACGACAGGCGTCATTTACCCCCTTTACCATGATGAATTTCGTGGGCCTTGATCTGGCCTTTGCCGATCAGGGGCAGTATAAACAACACGTATTTCGGTGAATGTATTTAAGTCCTTTTAGCTTGCAACTACATAGCCATTACTACAGAGTAACATTATTTATTTGTTTGAAATTTGTATTTTGTAATATTTTATATATATAAATAAATGTTTTCCATTTTCTTTAAAGGATACAAATAAGTGTTAAAAAGTATATATGAGCAGCAGAGGTAGTCGTAGGATTATTGAGGAACCTTAAATCAGTGGTCACCAAAGTGGTCCCTACGGTCCCCGATATTCTTCAGGGGGTCCGCGCAAGGTTTAATATAAAATTAAAATATTTTGATCCATTTTTATTTGTATGGAAATTTAAATAACAATAATTCGCTTGGATATTCCCGACTAGGTGTTGAACCCTTTTGCGTGTGGACAAACTCAGATACCAAACACAGAAGAATCCATACTAATACAGGAATATCTTATTGAAATACCCACAAATGAAGAACCTAAGCCAATGTTTGCACAAGGATACCACGAATTCTGGTTACAAAAAACAGATCCCAGTTTTATGTCCTGCATAATGGGTTGTTGTACAGAAGTTGCTGTCTATGAGTGTCAATCCAATCTATGAGTGTGTCAGATTATACAATTAATTATACCTTTATATCTGATCAAAAAATATTCTTTATAACTGAAATATGTTTTTTTGATACGATAATAGAGAAAGCTTATGAACGCACAAATAAATATATATAAATGTTTTAAATACTTTGTTGTTTTCATAGTCTGCCATGATTTCTATGATATTTTCATTCAATTGATTCATTTTTTTAAGTATTCATATAGATTAATATATATCCTTGTTCTTAATTTTAATAAGTACAATTTTATTGAGTACGAGGGCTTGTGCTATATTTATTTCCTTCCCGAAAGTAAAGCGATAATTTAGTAAAATTGATCCCCCTAATTTGTATTTATTTAAATTTAACAGCACAACAATAATATCACCAGCATGCATTCTCTGTTTAATTTTCTGTTTGTTTTAACCTGCTTCCCATATTTGAGTTACTTTTTAATAAAACATAAATAGTTAGAGCAAAAAACAAGACATAAAAGCCTCTTATTCTGCAACGCGCTCACAAACAAAAGTACGCTCAAATTTTTAATTCATATCTCAAAAAACATAACAGTATAAAACTTGCCAAAGTGACGTAAGTCACGCGCATGCTTATTACACGTTTCAATATCAGCGATTCAGGTTTCTTTTTCACCGCAGACGATTTGAGTTGGCGACGTTTTCGAACAAAACTCCATTCGTTTCTCTGTATAAGTTTGGA